ATTAATCTACATTTTGTGAGTTACTTGAACTAACTGTTATATTTTTGTAGTTATAGAGCTGTGGTTACCCTTTTCTTCCTTATTGTTTTGAGATAATGTTTACATGTGTAGATGTCCTGTATTGTTTTGTAGTTATAGGTGTGGGTAGGCTGTTCTTCTTTTAGTTATATTTTGTAGTTATCATGTAGTTATATGTAGATTACTGCTTCTTTTTTATGCAAACTACTAATGTTCAATAATTTTTTATTTTCTGCAGAATGGCCATTACTTTGCACCACAAAATGTTGATTATGGTGTGCTTAGATTCCACAGTTTGTGTGATCCGAGCATACCTAGCCAGATAAAAGCTTTACTCTCTCCAAATGCTTTAAAGCTTTTCCAAAAAACTTGTTTTGGTTACTTATTTGGTCTCCCCACAATCTGTATGCAAAACCAAGCAATTCATCTTCTGATGAAGTATGAATTGTCAAAGTCTACTGACTCATATTTTTCAGTACTATTGAAGGGTGAAAAATTGAATTTTTCCTTGAGAGAATTTGGGTTGATTAATGGTTTAAATAGTGTGAATAATTTTTCAGACTATAGTTACACTTCCACTTATGTTAGCCATTTAATGACTACCTATTTTTCGAACAAACAAAGGGTTGAAAAGTGGCATTTGAAAAATGTAGTCACAAATAAAGTTTGGGCAAACGATGAGGATGCAGTGAGGTTGTGCATTCTTTATCTGTTGGAATTTTTTGTTTGTCCTTCTGATAAAGACCATGTGTCTTTCATAGACAAGTTTATGTTCTTTCTGATAGAGTCTGGTAATTTTGAGTCATACCCATGGGGTATCAAATCCTTCAAGCAGGTTATTGAATCTGTCCGACATCGTCTTAATCCCCATGTACATTCTTATCTGATACGGGGATGCTCATTAGCCTTGCAAGTGTGGCTATATGAGTGTTGCTCGTCCGTCAGCACGGAGCTTGCTACGAGGTGTTCTGAATCTATACCTCGCATTTTAAGATGGTCAGCTACAAAGGGCCAGATTTGGTTAACTGCAATTGAAGAGAAGATGATCAAGCCTGAGTGGCTCAAGGTATATTTTTTCACTTTTGTATGATGCTACATTTACCTTCATAATAACTACAATTAATCTACATTTTTATTTACTTGAACTAACTGTTATTTCCATCATTCAGTTCACAAGCATGACTGAATCTGGAGAAGAGATTGGAGTGCTTAATCTGCCAGACAAGATTCAGTATGAAGTTGAACATGGTGCTCAAACATCACAGGTTCCAATTGATGCTTCTCCAACATTTGAACCAAAACGTACAGATTGTCAAGAGGACACTGAATCTGTGACTAGCAAGCTCAGGAAGTTGGAAAAGGGGATTGAGCAGGTAATATAAATAACTACAATATATTGACATTTTTTGCTACAATTTAACTTCATTCCATAACAATTATTGTATGTTATACATTGTAGTTAATTTGTGGTATAATTCTATATTGAGCCCTGTTGGTATTGCACAAATCTTTGTTAAATTGTTGTGGAACTGTAGCACTTTGAATAAGATTAACAACTAATTATATATTTAATTTTTAGGTTGATGGAAAGTTAGCTGAATTTAGTAAGGCTGTTTTTGAGGAACTCTCAAGCCTTCGAGAGTTCATAGATGTTTCTGTGAAGAGTGTTATGAAGGTGATAAACAGCAAGTATGATGTGGACGAGTCAAAGGTAAGAATTGACATATATTTTTGTAGTAAAACTAATTATGGCATATGAAACAAGTATACTCAAACATACCCAAAAATTGTAGTTTGCTGGTAGTTCAACCAAAAATAATGACCAACAACAACGAGAGAACAACCAGCAATTTCAGTTCAATATTGGTGATCAAGTGCATGCAAGCACAAGCAATACCGGTATCTACAGAATTCCTACAGGCATATCTACAAACTTCAAGAAAGCATTATCTAATTATATTAACACCTTTTTCACTATGTTTTGCAGCTGCAATTTCTCCGGACCATGTGCAACCACATGTTGAGGAAGAACCAGAATTTGAAGAAGTAGCTGAGGCACAACAAGCAGGTATAATATCAGAAGCTCATTATATTTACTTTATATCTACAATATTGTGCATAACTACATACATCTACATTTATCTTCAGAAGCTGAAGTTTCTCCTGGAGGTGCGCCAGCAATGGTTGAGGAAGAACCAGGATTTCAGGAAGGAGCTGAGATAGAAAAAGCAGGTATAGTATCATAATATACTTTTGAATAGATAATTGTTGCTTATACACTTATACAATGCTGTTAAGTATGTGATTTTATATGTAACAGATATTGAAGATAACGTTCCACGGTCGCCAATTCACAGTGTGACTGTGAATGAACTTGTTCCTGAAGGTTCAGGCATTGACAAGAAAGGTCTGACATTGGATGACTTTGAGTTGCTAGACAACTTAACACAATTGGTAATGTATGTCGAGCCCATACCAGATGAAGCAACCCCTATTCATCCGGGTAGAACCAGACAACCGGGGAAACATGCACGATCACCTTTCACACCTCTGTATAGTTCTGGAGGCAGCACCTCTGTCGGACCTAAATTTTTCTACCTCAAGCACCCCTTCACAACTGTTATAGGTGAAAATGTAGATGCTGATTTGATAGAAAGGTTCACCAACTGGTTATACCTTCGTAGTGACAAAGCATCTAAGAGGTATGAATGCTTAATTTTACACTTTCATTTCACCATTTTTAAACTTTAAATATGTAATTCATTCTGTCATTTTTTTTAATTGATATTTTTTTGTTATTACAGGAAAAAGTACTTTCCAAAAAGGATAACAAATTCAAGCCCTTGGTTAGACTTTGGTGTGAAAAGGCTGGATAAGAAGGACTGGTTTTATGCCCTTGTTCACCCAGGGACAATTATCAATAACAGGTAAGTATAAAGAACAGAAATCATTACAATATGTATTTTGTCTTCAGCTGTGTGTGTAATTGTTAGTTACATTGTCAGTATTGTCTTCAGCTGTGCAGTGTATTTGTATAGTTATTGTAAGACAAGATATATAGAGTACTATTTTTGTCTTTCAGCTGTGTAATTGTGCTTTTTATGAACCTTATGTCTCATATTGATGATGATTGTACTACAAAATTGGATTTTTTGTGGTACTTTGGACAGAATTGGAATATCATGTGTACCATAATTGTAGTTTACTTTGTAGTAAACAATTGTTAGAGAAATTTACATAGACTTATAATATTAACTTGTAGGGTTGAATTTGGTTATTTTTTGAGACCTTATGTTTAGTTGCTATGTTGCATTTTGTTCCTCTGTATAGTAAGCTAAAGTTGTAGCAATCTGTTAGATTATTTGATTAGTTCAAAATTGTAGTTTAAGTTGTAGCTGTTATGTAGATAATTGTGGTTAATATGTTAGCTTATAGTAGACTTTATTTTATTTGCAGCACATTGATTGTTATTAATGTATTATTTGAGAAAAAAAGAGGCAAGTAGGCCCAACAACGACATTAGGTTCACAAAACTGATTAGCTTGTTTCAGGACCAAGATTTGAACGAAATCTATGACAAGTTCATAAAGTTCTCCACCAGAACTATGTATTCGGTTGTTAAATCAGATGATGATAGTTGCAGAATATATCCATTGGGTAATAGACTTCTTGCTAACTGTTGCCTGGGATGTAGTTGACTATGTCATCAATGCCTGTGAACATTGTAGAAATTTCATTGGTTGTTGCTCGTTTCGACATAGCGACAGTCAACTTTTATGTTTTGATTCCATGGTTTCTTCAAACACCGTCAATATTCTGTTTGAATCATTGGTATGAATAAGTTTCAATCATTATCCTCTGTATTTGTCTTACAACTGGTTTCTACGGGAAATGTAAAGACATATTGACTTCAAGACCACAAAGGCATACATTGAGAACACCAGTTTACAGACCCTCTCAACATACAGTGGAGTGTTGCGGAAGATCCACAAGCAAATAGGAAGGATCACTGTAAAAAAAAACTATTCTCACTTTCTAATATGTTTAAATTATTTTATTTTAATCAATTTTTTACATAATGAAAAATTGATCTTATGCAGCAGATTGTGGTGTAGTTTTGTGGCGCTTTTGCGGAGTATGTTAGCCTGGAGATTGGCAATCCCAAAGAAGATCTTTCTCATATCGACCAACACCGTAGACGCTATTGGAGCTCTACTATGGGACTATGCTACAAAGAAAGCCAAGGAAGATGGGTCAATCAGTGAATATGAGGTTACAGTAGGCTATTAAGAGGAAGGGTGCCTCCTTGCTAAAATGAAGAGAGGAACTAGAGTACAGAGGAAAGAAGAAAAGAGTCTTGTGTTCCTAGTTTAGTATGATGTCATTTTAGTTGAAGTGCGAATTACACTGTAGGAAATATGTCATTTGGTTGTTACAGCACTTTATCTTCATTACATTAAACTCGAGTACTCTGATTTGCTAGAATACAATTCGCCTTTAATCTTCAAGTAATTTTTATGAAATACCTTCAAGTTCTAGGTAATTTCTGTATATAACTGTCATTTGTAATTAAGGTACACAGCCAAAAGATGAAATAAATACAGGAATCATATAAATAAATTATCCACAATTTGTCTACAAATGATTAACAAGACTACAATTTAAATACATTTAAACTACAAATTATTAACAGGACTACAATTAGACTACATTTAAAGTACATTTTAACTACAATCTGGAAACACTTTACATTGAATGAATTCTTTATTAATATCAGTTGTTTTGTATATAGTAAATATTAAAGTTTAACTAAGCTATAAAAAATGACAAATTAAGATGCCTGACAGAATACATAAAATCATATTAAACGCAAATAAAGAAATTGTATTATACTTCATAATCATCTTCAGAAACTTGAATGATTACACAAAAAAATCGGATAATTTGAACTCACTAACATTTATTTTGAATAACTATTCTAACTACATGATATTCATTTCTTTTTTGGGCGCATTCTTGCAAGTTCTTTTGTTATGCCCTTCACCTCCACCATTTCCACATGACACCTTGTACTTCTTTGACTTTATTTCATCAAATATTTTATATCTTTCCTTGTGAGGTCTCCCTGGCTGCCTTTTATCTCCCGCCGGTGGCTTTACTACCTCATCCAAAATATGTTGTGGCACATCCCATTTGCTTTCATCAGGAAGAGGATTTACTGACATTTCATAGGTAAGCAGAAGGCTCTTCCTTGTGTAATACGGAGAGCAATAGTTTTCGTATGTTTCCTTCCTGTGCCTTAATGCTGCCAAAGCATGCGCACATGGAAGTTCATCAAGTTGGAATTGTACGCAGCTACATTTCTTATTTTCTAGACACACAATGTACCGCTTCACACCATCTAACACAGTATGTATATGATCTGTTGAAGCCCTCACCTACAACTGAAGAACAAACAGAAATAATAATATATCAATCATTAAAAAGGATTATCCACAACTTACCTACAAATCAGCTACAAATACATTACAACTTATCTACAATCTACAATTACTCACAATTTGACTACAGTTTATCTACAATCTGGAAACAATGCATATTAAGCAATTTATTTTTTTTCCACCAAACAAACAGATCTTACCCTTAGTTTCTGAGATAATGTATTGTTGTCATCCAATTCTTTGTTGAATTTGTACCCAAGGTATGTGAAAGTACCCTTTGCTTTCAATAACTTCTCTTTCATCCAACGTTCAAGAAGCATCCTCATATACTCTAATAGATCATATATTGGCAGCTCTCTTGCCTCTTTTGTTACAGCATTCAACGACTCGGCAATGTTTGATGTCATAGTAAAAGTTCTATTCACCGTTGCATGTACTCTTGACCATCTATGATAGCCAATATCATATAGGTAAGATTTCACGCGCGGGTCTACCTCTTCAATCTTCAACATCCTTTCATTAAATTCATCCAGAGTGTATGAGCGTGCTGTAGCAAAGTACAATTCATGTAATTGTAGATGTCCCTTCTTGAATTTGGACCTTATATTTGTCCAAATATGCCACATGCAAGAGTAGTGTGGCATGCCCGGATAGACAATTGATGTTGCCTTCAGTATACTCTTATTCCTATCTGAAACAACACACATTGAAGGTCTTTCACCATATGTCTCCTTGAATTGCTCAAAGAACCACTTCCAAGACGCGTCGTTTTCAGAATCAACCACATCATATGCCAAGGGCAATATAGTACCTACATTTTTAATTCATAAAATATTAATTGGCAGCCCTGAAAAGGTATATAAAAATATAATTAAATAACAACTACAATATATATTCAGAATATAGACAAATTTATCTACATTTTTTTCCATTAACTACAATATAACTACAATTTAACTACATTTTATAGACTGCCTACAAAATAACTACAAAATTATTACATTATTTACCTGCTGCATCCATGGTGCTTGCTGTAAGCATAATCCCCCTATAGGCTGACTTTAAGAATGTCCCATCAACCACTACTACTGGCCTACAATGTTGCCAACCACTTATTGATGTACAAAGAGCAACAAATGCGTATAAGAAGCAATCATCTGCTGCCTTCTTCAATTTAACAACAGAACCAGGATAAGTCTCCTCAAGAATATAAAAATATTTAGGTAATTTGCTATAGGAGTCAGACGGATTCCCTCTCAAAAACTGTAAAGCCTTTTCCTTGGCTCTCCATGCTTGCATGTAGCTTAGGTTCAGTCCATGTTCGGATAACATGTCAGTTTGTATGTTCTTTGGTGTGTAAACAGTCTTAGGATCACAATACTTTGGAACGACCATGCTACCAACTACAGCTGCAGTACGTTTGCGCTGTATGAATGTTTCGTCCATTAAGGAGCATGTGTGTTGTCGGCTGAAACTCCTTATCTTGAACATTGCCGAATCATTAATTGACGTTGCCTTGAAGTGCCATTTACAGTTTTCAGCAACGCATATAAGCCAGTAGCTACAAAAAAATACAATATTTAATACATGCTATAGATGTAGAAGCAACAAAAAGGACTGTCTTAACACAAATTCGTCAAAACTACAATTAACTACAATTTAACTACAATTTAACTACAATTTATAAAAACCACATATCTTCACTAAAACACTATTTTTATTGATCTATTCTCCACAAATAACTCCATACCTTCTATGACTTAATCTTTTTACTCTGAACTGGAACTTGTGCATCACAGAAAAATTCTTCATTGCAGCAGCTACAGTTTGCTTGTCCTGATAAACTTGTCCTTCTTCAATATATGTTTGCGTAGATTTAATTATTATTTCACTTTGATATTCCTCTATAGCTGGTGAGGATGGAATTTCAAGTAACTTTAGGGATCCAGACGAACCTGCAACAATATAGAGATAAATGTAGTAACTGTGTAGATAATTCTGAAAACGACATTGCTTTATGAGCTTCAGTACATTGTTTTTTGTAGTTAATTTGTAGATAAATGTTGTAATATTGTAGATAACACACTAACACAATAACTCTCTGCAATGTCGAATTAAACATACATGCACTTGTGCTATCGTTGGTGATTGCCAATTCCATATTGAAATCTCTTACGCTTATACATAAAGGATACGAACCTAGGTTCTTATTCTCCTTTTTGGTCTCCATATACACATGAACCCCCATATCATTCCTAATCTCCATTGGAGGACAATTGTCGTTCACAATGTATTTGATTTCTACAATTTTATCCGATGTATCAATCGATAGTTGTTCTGCAATTGTAGAAATCAGAATTCCGTAGCTTGCATTCTCATCTACCACAATGACATCAACTTCAAAATCTCTAAATCTGCCATAGTTATCCCAATTTCCATTCAATTTTAGCATTATTGGGATTTTTGACATGATTTTGTGTAGTTGAGAGAAAAGAGATGAAGAACAGATATAGGTTCGACAATTTGAGTATTGAGGTCAATGAAGAACAATTTTGAATTCTACAATTTGTATTGCGTTGTAGAATTTGTAAAAGCAAATTGAGTACTGGAGCTCCTGAAGCTTGCGTTGTTTTAGAATTATAGTGAATGAGAGAATTACGCAGCAATGAGATCTCTTTACGTTTCAAAATTCGAATTTAATGTGGAAAGAATCAAACGCAGATTTCGTGCCTTCTTTTTAGCGCGTTTTAAATGGCAGAATCTGCTTAATTATGGATTGGTATATAAATTGTAGTAAAAGTGTGGACTGGGCGGGTAATTAACAAATTATGAACATTTTTGGTAATAAGGTTTCATATATGGTATAGATAGGAAAAAAATACCTTGAATGAGTGGGTGTGATTGAAATTGGTTGAAAATACTTAAACGAGGCTATATACAAAATTTGAGCAAGATTAGAAGTGATTTAGACTGGTTTAAGGTAAAAAAAACCAGACCTAAAAATCCAACTACGACATGTGTATATCACGTTGTATATTGTGTACATCAGTGTATATCACACACAAGTTTTTAAGGACGTCTGTGTATATCACTTTGTATATCGTGTATACAACACAATTTCTTTATGGACGCCCGTGTATAGGGGTGTTCATAAAAACCCGAAAAACCGAACCAAACCGAAAACCAAACCAAACCGACCAAAAAAACCGATACGTTTTGGTTTTGGTTTGGTTTAGGTTTTGAATTTTAAAAATCGATCAAATTTGGTTTGGTTTTGGTTTTAATCAGAAACAAACCGAACCAAACCGACTATAGGAGTAGCTATTTCAAATTTATTATTACACCTATATATATATATATATGTATATTTTTATACAAAGTTTCAAAAATTTAATGGTATATTAATAGTTTGCACTTTTAGTATAGTTCTTTACCTTTATATTCTAGTTTGATTGGTAGTTTTCTTTTGTTACGTGTAAGATTCCATTTCGTGTTAAAAATAATATATTTTTAATTGAGTCCTTAAATTATTCATCACTATTTGATTCAATTATCACCAATATATCTTGGTAAATAATAGATTTCTCAAAGGGCAATTGATTTGATAGTGTTACGTTGAAAATGTGGTCACCGAAATATGTGTTTGGTAGTGTATGTCTTATATTTAAGAAAAAACCGATAAATAACCGAAAAAACCAAAAACCGACAAAATCCAACATAAACCGAATCGAGAAAAAACCGACTTAAATGGTTTTGTTTAGTTCTAATATTTGAAAAACCGACTTACTTGGTTTGGTTTAGTTCTAATATTTGAAAAATCGACTTACTTGGTTTGATTTCTTTTTAGGGAAAAACCGATCCAAACCGAACCATGAACACCCCTACCCGTGTATATCACATTGTATATCGTATATATAACACAAATATTCATGGATATACAGAGATACACATAATATACACGAGATATCATTGATGTCCATAGAGATATACACGGGTTACAATAGCGGATACACATGTGGAGTCGTCTTGAACTTGATTTATCAATCTGAAATGTGTTAAACAAAGAAGGAAAATAAAATTTTAATAAATTTCTTTGATATACACATTATTATCATGTTCTACATGGGATATAGAAATAATATAATTATTAATTATTGATCAAAAAAGGAAAATAAATTTTTTGATATAGCATGTTTAAGCAAGTTCTAAAATATAAAAATAATAAATGTAATTGTGGGAGTAAATAATATTTTGGTATACAATGAAAATTTTGATATACACAAAGAAGAAAAATAAATTTATGATATCTATTTTGGTATACATGTGTCCGATGTGCTATAGTGATATACAAATAATACAATATTTTTATTGTGATATACATAGATATAAAGGCAGCAATAACTATATATATAATTTTATATTATTGATATACAAAGAATAATATTATTTATATACAAAGAATGAAAATAATTTTTTTATATACATGTTGATATAGACAAAGAAGAAAAAAAATTTGTGACATACATATTATTATTGTGATATACATTTATTGGCTATTTGATGCCAATATCTATAACTAGGGCTATTTTCTACTAATTATATGGGTATGTTGTTATACCACTTTAGAATATTCAGCATCCGGCCCAAAACAAAAAGCATAGACATGGCCCAATTATTTATCTCTTGATAACACGTAGCATTAGTAGCTCTTTGTAATAGTTAGCCAATATTAATTTTATAGCTATTTTTGTATCTTGAACCAGGTTATATACAGGAGGGCCCAGCTGTATTAGGCAGCCCGTTCATTTCAGTCCATCGGGTATGTCGTTCTCTAATAAAAGAGTTGTAGAACCCCTAATCCTCCATTAACAAACCTTCAACTTTGTTCGATTCTTTCACTGTTAACATGGTATCAGAGCGGTGAATCCGTTTGTCCTCATCTTCTTCTATCGAGCGGTGTTACCCTATTCGATTTCGTCATGTTTCCATTTTTGCTGAAGTTTTGTGGGTTTTTTGTCGATTTCGGTCAAGGATGTAATTTTTTTCGATTCGTCTATATTTTCTCGCCATTGACAGTGCTACAATGCTGGTTTACTCCTAAATTTCTGGTTTTCGTCGAAGTTCTTCTCTAGTCGTTCGATCTAGGGTTTTTTTTTCGATATTGTTCGGAGCTTCATCGAAGATATTCACTGCATATCCAGGCCTTTACTTCTTCAGGTCGCGAAGAAGGTTGGTATTCCTATCTCTTATCCGTATTGTTACATGCAAATTGTTAGTTCGTATTTTGTGGTTATTGATAATTGTTGACAATCGTTTGTTGGGTTAAAGTTTCTTACTTGAATCGCTCTATGACTACACTGTGCTTTGTTATCATGACCGGTACTACAGATTCATCTACTAGTGTTGGTGGATCTTCCAAGTATACTCCTGACCCTTCCTCCCCTTTATTGCTTCTTTCGTCTGATGTTCCCGGTGTCCCTGGTATCTGTCCCTTTTTCAGGGATTGGATTTGGAAGTTGGAGATGTAGTATGATAGTATCCCTGTCCGCTAGAATAAGATAGGGTTTATTGATGGGTCATGTGTCAAACCTGATGCAAATTCACCTGAGTATAAGCAATGGGATAGATGTAATAACATGGTTATATCGTGGCTGACTAGTTCTTTATCTCCTGATATAGCTGAAAGCGTATTTTGAAACAGCTGAAAGTATTTGAAAATAGTTAAATAGTAGATATGGAAGTGTAAATGGGACCAAAGTGTTTGAATTAAAGAGAGAACTTGCTTCTAGTTACCAAGGTTCCTAGACATTGCCTCATATTTAACAAACTTAAGAAGATATGGGATGAACTAGGGGTAATATGTAGTGTGAGCACGTAATTTTTGCCCTATATGAATTACTCCCATAAATTCAAAACAGAACAATTTCTTTCAGTGATTGCAATTTTGTGGATTTTCGTGGCATTTTCTGTTAGTTGTTTGCATTTTTGCTTGTGCATTTTAATTAGTGAGAAAATACAAAAAAAAATGTTGCATTTGCATTTTAGGATTTAACTTTACGTTTTTGAATTAAGTAGTAAATTAGTTATTTTATAAGAATTCGAAATATCACAAAAAAATGGTTATTTTTACACTTTTAGTTTTAATCTTTGAATTTTGGTGGTTTTCATTTAATTTGGTTTTAATTAGTTGCAGTAAGTTTTAGTTGTAGTAATTAATTTAATTTGAAAATAATTTGACTAGGAATTAATTTAGGAGTTATTTTTAGTTTTAATTTAAAAGAAATTAAAAAAAATGAAAACAAAAGAAATGAGAGTGCAGATTTTTGGGCTGAATCCTTTTGTTTTTCTGGCCCAGTTCGAATTCTTCTTGATTTTCCCCAGCCCAATCATTAAACCTTCGCCCCAGTCCAGCCCAAACTCCCCGACCCAGTCCATCTCCTTTCATTAACCAAATGACATCGTATTGCTCCCCAATTGATCTCAACCGTCGAGGTTGATTGATCCAACGGACGAGAAGCTAGGACTCTTAGGTATAAAAGTGTCTGAAGGCCCCCCCCCACCCCCCTCTCATCGTCTCCACACCCTCATCAGAGACCCTCCGTCTCCGCCGTCTGCCACCGCCGGAAATCGCCTACGGCGGCGGCAAGTCTCCAACCACCACCAAAATTACACCCTAGCTTCCTCTCCTTCTCCTCATTCCAAATCCACACCCCTTTTCCTTCGAATCCCGCCCAAACCTCTCGAATCTTGCTCTGAAGCTGCAAACCCTAGCGCCGCCACAGTTCCTCCGGTGGTGGCGCAGCCCCACTCAACCCCAAAATCACACCCTTGAACCCTCACCACCTCCTCTCCACTAATCTATGTTCAATTGCTCTCAAAAGCCTCCCAAATTGTTCGACTTTTAGGTCTAGGGTTCAGGGTCCTGACTCCTGTTGCATGAAGATTATTCGAGGTGTTTTTGGTTCGTCCCTCGATAATGCTATTTAC